ATGTTGGGGTAACATTCCCTATTCTGATCTGTGTCGGTGTGTATCAGGGGCTCTGAGGACAGGTGTCAATCCATATCTGCCAAGTGACCCTATGTTGGGGTAACATTCCCTATTCTGCTCTGTGTCAGTATGTATCAGGGATCCTTAGGACAGGTGTCAATCCATATCTGCCAAGTGACCCTATGTTGAGGTAACATTCCCTATTCTGCTCTGTGTCAGTGTGTATCAGGGGCTCTGAGGACAGGTGTCAATCCATATCTGCCAAGTGACCCTATGTAGGAGGAACAGTCCCTATTCTGCTCTGTGTCAGTGTGTATCAGGGAACCTTAGGACAGGTGTCAATCCATATCTGCCAAGTGACCCGATGTAGGAGGAACAGTCCCTATTCTGATCTGTGTCAGTGTGTATCAGGGATCCCTAGGACAGGTGTCAATCTGTTGTAGAATTATTAGGCCTCTATAAATCTGTAAGGCCCCTTTAAATCCTCTTGCTATACCTCTAAGAGGCCCCCATAGTTTTACAAGAAAGCTTTGTCTATAGAACATAGAATTTGCATGCCAGCAAGAAATAGCTTTGATAAAATGTGTATTTACTAAAAGCCTTGAAACCTAACCTTGAGAAACTAACCGTGCCAGCTACACTCTAAATGGATGGCTGCCAAAGCACCCCTCCCATCGAGTGAACACCTCGTGCTAACAAGATGGCGCCTACATCTTGTGTCCACTCCCGTGTCAAGGATGACATCACCTCTTGATAGGAGGGTACCTAACTAACCACTTAACACCTGGACCAATCAATAGTGTCTATTTGCTGTTATCTTGATTTTCTTCAATGATGTAATAATGCCTTTAAAAGGGTCTGCGCACCCATTTTCTGGCAGAAGCCATTAAACTTCTCTGAAGTTCTTTCATTACCCTGAACCTTGTGTCTCAGTGTGAATTTACTTCTGCGTGCACGCAACTTTATTATCTTTAATTTGGACAGGAACAGATAGTCATTCAAACTAATTGGTTTGCAGTAAATTATCTACAACAGCTGGCGCCATAACGTGGGGCTCTGGGCTATGTCCTGCCTGGGCAGCTGTCCAAGAAGATGCTGGGGGGGTGAATCCTGGGGGAAGGAAAAGAGCCTGATCACCTCTGAGTACACGGTAGAGATTGCTGCAGCACCTAGCCGGTATGTTCCTACCCCTGTGATTGACCTGTTCCAGTGTCTGTGACTGCTGCCGAGAGGACATCAAAGTCAGGTAATAACTTGCCCAGAGTCTTTGTATTGTTAATGATACCTAGTTTACCTGCATGTTGACTATCTGTTGCCTGGGTGTGTTTGTATTGGTATGTGTTTAACTTAGTACCCGGGGAGTGTAAGTGCCTGTTTAACTCCTTTTAGGTACCACATGCCTGTGGTAGTAAGGAAAAAGGGGGGTGGACCTGTGGAAGTTTTCCTGGGGGTCCTCTATTGCCTGTTTAACTCTTTTAGGAGCCACGTGGCTGTGGCTGTAAGGAAAAAGAGTAGGGGGAATCTGTGGAGGATGATGTAGACTCATTGCTTCCTGGGGGTTCCCCAGAGTGTCATTTTGACCGCTTAGCTAGCCTCATCGGACACTTCTTCTTGGTAAAATTCCAGCCTCGAGCGCTGAGGCAGGTAAGATTCCAATTCTTTAGGCTATACAGGATTCGGGTTGGAAGCTGTTGCTGTTTCCTGTGGCTGCTGGTAGTGAGACTTGCGGGTGGGTCCGCAACAGGGACACTACGAGGTTGAGGGAGGTGGCTTTGGCCACACGAGTAAAGGCAAGGGATAAAACTGTTGAACTTATTTGAACTGTGATGCATTCACTGTATTTACACTGAAATGTTATTGTCTTAATTGTCTGTCACACAGATTCCTGTGTTTACTTCTATCTTACTCACTGTACTATTTACACTTTCCCCTCCTATTTCTCTTTCTCTTTGTTGAGAGAAGTGATTGGTCACACACTTCTCGCCACGCTCCAATCCGCGGCTACCACGGGTAGGCGGAATCAGTGACTAGTCTACGTTTTGGGAAGACGTACTTAAAGAGCTTGCTCTTAAAGTAGCAGTCGAGCACGGTAGACGTTCTGTTCCTTTCTCTCTCTATATCTGGGACGCCTTGTATAGGGAGGATGGGACAGAAGTTAGATAAACCCAGTAAGGGTTGGTTAGCATGTGATCTAGTGGAAGACAGAGAAGGAGAAGAGATGGTTAAGAAAGTGAGTAAGATTGCTAAAGTATGTGGAATTACCGTACCTCTGTGCAGCAGATTGTAGCCAGAGAGCTGGCGTAAGTTACTGACAGAAGAAAGGGAAGCTGTCGGACCAAGATTTGGTTTGTACAGCAGAAGCCTGGTACCGAGTAGCAAGAGCTATTCAGCAAAAGGGATAGGTTGAGGAAGATATTGATCACAAAGGTTTAAGTTTGTATGTATATCATAATAATTGTGTTACTGGGATGTTATCCCAGCAGTGCCCTGTCCAGGAGGTGACCACTTCCATCATCCTGTCAGTAATGACCGAAATGTAGCTGACCATGGTCACCATCCCACCCCAATCTTAAAACGCTGTGGGGTTTTTGTATTTTGTGTTAGCCATTACCCTGGTAGAGGGTGGGGGTATAAATGAAATGTTGTGTTTTTGTGTCTCTTTGCTTTGTAATGTAATTGTCCTTCTGTCTTGTTACTGTACAGCGTTGACATGGTTAAATTCGTGCTGGCAGGCGGTCTCTCTCTTGTTCCACTCAAATCCCCCTCTGCTAAAACACCCCCCCCTCCCCTCGCTTCTGTGAGACGCGGGGGGGGGAGGGGGCGGAGGGGGGTGGTGACATGCTTGCGATTTAGGTCTGTCTCTTCGGTGTTCTGTAGAGTTATTCAGAAGCTACTGATAAGAGTATGAGGTACTGAGGATTGTGGGAGTGACGAGCTCACAAGATTGCATTCAGTGTTGAATACGGGATTTAGGAAGGTGTAGAGGGAATATGCGATGTTGTTAAGTCAGTATAAGAGGAGGAAAGTGATTAATGGCTAGAGGATGATAAGGGAAATTGGTTGAATTCCGTGAGTTTATTTTGCTTCATTTTATTATTTTAAAGTACATGTTTCTAGAAACAGCTGTATGGGCTGTTAAATGCATAATGTTCTCAACTGTCTTATTCAACCTGCCAGGTCTGTTCATAGTTTAGTATTTCATTTTGCAGAACAGAATGTTGCTTCTCTGACTTATTTTAATAGTTATAATATAGTGTATGGTTGAAAGTACGTCAACCACCACCCTAAAGATGGCGCCTGCCAGTCCCGTGACCTATCCACAGTCACGGTTACTTCTAAAGTAACGTCACTTCCGCCCTTACCATGCCCACACCTCCTGTCTTCCTTTCCCACACATATCATGGACGTCACCCCTCTCACTTCCTCCCTTGCTGTCATTTCCTTCCCCGCCCCTGTCATGGCTGCCTCCATCATAAGGCCTACCCCTATTATGCTCGTCCCATTTAGAGACGTGGTTTCCCTTACACTCTACATATTATGAACTGAAACATTATAATTGTTATAGTCTAAGTGATATAAATGATAGTACCGCAATAGTTAATGTTTTATCCAAAGACATATAGGAACTTTACTTAACCTACTATTAACCATTATTTATAATGATAGACATGTTCAGACTGCAAAAAGCTATGGCTAATGACATACAAAAGGGGTTTGAGTCAGTAACACAGCCCATACTGAGGAGAGCAAACCCGCTGATGCTTAATGCCCCTGCCATGGCAGTGTCTTCAGGGGAACAGGGGGGGCCTCTAGCTACTGTAATTTTACCCATTGAGGGCCAGCCCACCACTTTCCTAGTTGACACAGGTGCAGCCCGAAGTGTTCTGAGAGAACAAGACCTGCCCGATACCTCATTTCTTTCCAATATTGATGTCTCCTGTGTTGGGGTGGACGGCCTTCCAAGGCAAAGTCCCCTGTCCACCCCACTGCGGGTTGGTAACTGCCACAACTTGCTTGCTCGCTTTGTGGTATCTTCCACATGCCCCATTAACCTGTTAGGAGCTGATGTTCTTTCACGCCTGCAGGCATCCATCACCTTTACTCCAGATGGACAAGTGGAACTATCCACCCCTCTATCTGTCTCAGACACCTCAGCTTTGTGCTCCTTACCCCTGATGCTACATCTAGAAGAGCCTCATGGGGATGCAAAAGACCTAAGGACTAATTTCCCTGATTCACTAAAGACTGATGTTCCCAAGAAGCTGTGGTCCACAGGCCCAGAGGACATAGGCCATCTAAAGGTCCCGCCTGTGGTGGTAAAGCTCATCCCAGGCGTAAAATTGCCACGAAAATCACAGTATCCTTTGAAACCAGCTCAAGCTGCAGCCATTACAATTCAAATTCAAGCACTCCTGGAGAAGGGTGCTCTTGTCAAATGTGAATCACCATGCAATACTCCATTATTTCCAGTAAAGAAAAAGACTCCAAAAGGCGAACCAGAAAAGTACAGATTGGTCCAAGACCTCAGAGCGGTAAATGAAGCCACAGTTTTGGACACTCCAATAGTGCCCAACCCACACACTCTCCTTTCCGGCGTTCCACCCTCTGCCAAGTACTTCACTGTAATTGATCTAGCCAATGCCTTCTTCAGTGTTCCCCTGGATCCAACTTGCCAATATCTGTTTGCTTTCACACATGACAAACAACAGTACACATGGACTGTCATGCCCCAAGGGGCACAAAATTCACCAAGTCAATTTGCGAAGGCCATGTGCTCTATCCTTGATCCATGGCAATCTGACCATCCTGAGGTCGTCCTGCTTCAATATGTGGATGATTTGCTGCTTTGTGGAGATGATATACCCACAACAGAACAATGCTCACTTAATCTTCTTTGCTACCTAGCAGAACAAGGATGTAAAGCTTCACGTCTCAAGCTGCAATTCTGCCAACCTACTGTTATTTTCCTTGGCCATTGTCTGTCTCAGGGAACCAGACATCTTACCCGTGACCGAGTTAGAGCGGTACTGGACATTCCACCTCCAAGGATCTCAAAGTCACTACACGCCTTCCTAGGCCTCATTTCCTATTGCCGAGCATGGATCCCAGAAGCCTCGCCCCTTATGCAACCTCTTTATGATGCTCTCAAGTCAGGCCCATTATGCTTGTCCACAGAAGCCCTTGACAACTTCTGTTCTCTCAAACGTGCTATTGCTTCTGCTCCTGCTCTTGGCCTACCAGACTATACCAAACCCTTCACATTGTTTGTTTCTGAAAGACAAGGCCATGCAACAGGAGTACTCACTCAGGCCCATGGTCCTGGAGGCCGCCAAAGGCCTATTGGATTTTTCTCCTGCCAACTGGATATTGTGGCCAGAGGACGTCCCTCTTGCCTTCGGGCCGTCTTTGCTGCCAGAGAGCTCATTGAAAGAACTGGAGATCTTGTCCTTGGCCACCCCCTGGTTGTCTTGGCCCCTCATGACATTTCTGCCATAGTCAACCAGGTCCAGCTTAAGCATGTTACTCCTGCCAGGCATCTTCGCCTTCAATGTCATCTTTTGTTGCCTGACAACATTACCCTCCAAAGATGTCAAGTTCTCAATCCGTCCACTCTTCTGCCACTCCCTGAGGGGGGTGTATACTACGGATTCATCATGGACGAAATTTATGTTTCTCTTCTCACTGGCACCATCAAGAAGGAAATGCATCCCAACCTATCCTTTTATGATGGACAAGCACTCCTTCATGACGGAGCAAGACATGCCTTCTGTACCATGTGGTACAAACCAAACATCACTCCTGAACCCTGCTATGAAGATGAACTCTATAAGCTGGTTGAAGTAAAACTCACTGCACAAGACTTCTACTGTGATTCTGAAGGCAACAGTATGGTCTTGATTCATCTACCTCCGGAACTCAAGCATTTGTACCGTCATTGGGACACTGCCATTCCACATGTCCCTGTGACCAAGTTGAAAACAATATCATGGAATGATCTTGGGCCTATGGCAAAAGCATGGGCCACTATGGACGAATCACAGCTACAGGAAAATGGTGTTGTCAAATATCCAACAACTGACCACCTAAAAGCATGGCCGCGTCATTTCCTGGAGAATGAGTTCCAAGATTTAACCATAGTGAATGACTACGACCCAGATACACCTCATGACTGTTTTGAACAGATGAAAATGGAAACGACACATCTACCAACTGTGCATGAAGACCCATTGGTAGATCCCGATCTCACCCTGTTTGTGGACGGCTCAAGATATGCTGATGAAGAAGGAAGATACCATACAGGATATGCCGTAACCACAACAGATGAAATTGTCAAATCATCATCTTTACCATCAACTATGTCTGCACAAGAAGCTGAATTGCAAGCCCTGACTTCAGCATGCAAGATCTCTGAAGGAAAGCGCGCCAATATCTACACGGATTCAAGATATGCACTGGGCGTGGCTCACGACTTCGGATTAATTTGGAAAACAAGAGGATTTCTTACCACCGCCGGTACACCAATCAAGCACGGTTCCGCAATCAAGGAGCTGATGGACGCCCTCCTACTCCCAGAAGAAGTGGCTATTTTAAAGATAAAAGCACATGGGAAGTTGGACTCAGATGAAGCAAAGGGCAACCATCTAGCTGATCAGGCTGCAAAACAAGCTGCAAAAGAACCACAGGAAGTGGAAAGAAGAGTGTCCGGAAATGAAGAAACTCCCATATTTACTCTGCAGACTCTTCCAACTGACCTGAAAATCCTGCTGGAACAACAGGCTACAGTTGCCCCTGAAGAAATACAGAAGTGGAAACAGAAAGGGGCAGTTCTGAAGGATGGAGTGTACTCCAACAACCTCAATTTCTGCCTCCCTAAGAATTTGTACCCAGCAGTCGTACAATGGGCACACGGACCTGCACATTTATCAAAGGATCTAATGAATGCTCTTGTACAAAATGCTACCTCACTGTCCCCATATGAGATTCTATTTGGGACTGCACCTAGGCTAGGTTGCTATTTTCCCCAACAACTACAACTTCAAACTGATGTTTTAGTAGATTATGTAACTGAACTCGCAAATGCTTTGAACAAAATCCATGCCCAAGTTTTCTCTTCAATTCCAGATCCTGATTCTGACACAGGCAACCACAGTCTGCTCCCCGGTGACTGGGTTCTGGTCAAGAAATTTGTGCGAAAACACACCCTGGATTTGACGGACCGTTCCAAGTTCTCCTGATCTCCCCTACCTCTGTCAAATTGGCCGGAAGGCCTAACTGGATCCACGCTTCCCATTGCAAGAAGACACCTGCCCCAGAGGAAGCTAATTCTATGCAACCATGTGCCTCTGGTACATTATCTCCTTAGTTGGCCTCCTTAAAGCCCAGCAGGTGGCCATCACCAAAGATGCTAGTGGGTACACTTTCTGGTATAATTCATCATGTACCCATGTGGCTACATTCACTTTTGATTACTGTGATATTGTAGAATGCCCATTCCCTAAGTCACAGATTCAAGCCATTTATAAAGATATCCCACAAGCAAAAGACCCTTACGTTTGTGTAGTAGATGAACAATGGGGTTATGACTGTAACTACTGGGGGGCTGCGGGATGGAATACTGGGCCTGCCTGGGGTTATAAACCCAAAAGTGCTTTAGATAGACAATCAGGGTAGATCCCTCCTTCAAAGAATGACTTTAAGAAAGCCTGGAGGAAGTACCCCTATGAAATTAATGTTAAATATTGAACATCCTGGCCCCGAGGATGCAGACCGATATGTAATGGGAATGTATTGGAAGAAAGGTTCCTACAACAAATTAGGTCATTTCTACCTCAGAGATATGTCCCACTCTCCAGAGTGGCAAGGGGCTGATCATATGGTCCCAAATCCGCTAAAACCACATATCCAGTCCTTTAAAGATATGATGGCCATCGCTAACCCCACTTTTGAAGATACCATGGCCGCTGAAACTGGATTCAATGACATTAATCTGTGGTTAGAATGGATGAGGTATAATGCTAACAAACATAATAAAACAGCATGTTATGTATGTGGCGGTGCCCGACCCCACCTTGGCACCGTCCCCCTAACTCTCCCTTTAGAGATAGAAGATTGCTTCTTAAGCCTTTTGCCTACCAATATGACTTTAATAGGTCCCTCTGCATGGCATGGACGGCAGAATACCCTCTCTTAGTTGAAAATGTTAAGCCACCAGATGGAATCACAGTCTATAGAGGTAATTACACTTGTTATGCCATGTATGACGGGATTGGTAAATTCATGGGTAATTTTTCTAAAGGTTATTGAGCCACTTACAGAACTGTTCCTATACGCCTGTTGCAACACCATACCAGGTCATTGGGAGATATTTACTGGTTATGTGGGGATCTACAGTTAAGATCTAGGCTGGAAACTGAGTGGTGGGGTGAGTGTACCCTGGCCAAAGTTATCATGCCCATTCATATTATTTCTGATAATCATCATGACACATACGACCCTCCACATACATCAGCCAGAGTAAGGAGCGAAACCCCAGTAAAAGGCAGTTTTGACCCCCACATTTACATAGATGCCATTGGGGTGCCTAGGGGGGTACCTAATGAATTTAAAGCTAGAGATGAGCTGCCTTGGGCTAAAAATGGTCCACACGCTGCTGTATTTTAGCTCTGAATGCCTGTTGACTTGCGTGACTTATCCGCCACCAACTAGGGGTTCAAGCCGCCAGTGTGTACTTTATAAATGGCTTTATAAAGCAGTGTGTACTTTATAAATGGCTCCACCTGCCACCCGTACAGCAACACAGTCTCCAGTTAGCAGGACCAACCAAGCATCTTCTTCCATCTGCCTGTTACAGAAATTACTGCCGTGTACACGACCACTGATAGGAGACGCGGAAGGTATTAAACTGATAAAATAGTACTAAACACACCACTCCTATCTGGTGTCACATTAGCTTGACCGCGCAGTGCCCCAAATTTGCAGTAAGAGGACCGACCAAGCCTCTTCTTCCATCTCCCTGTTACAAAAATCAATGCGTGTACACGTCCACTGATAGGAGACGCGGAAGGTATTAAACTGATAAAAATAGTACTAAACACACCACTCCTATCTGGTGTCACATTAGCTTGACCGCGCAGTGCCCCAAATTTGCAGTAAGAGGACCGACCAAGCCTCTTCTTCCATCACCCTGTTACAAAAATCAATGCCGTGTACACGTCCACTGATAGGAGACGTGGAAGGTATTAAACTGATAAAAAATAGTACTAAACACACCACTCCTATCTGGTGGTACATTAGATTGCACGCGCAGTGCCCCAAATTTGTTGTGATCTGTGAGTAAGGTAAGCGGTTGTCCATACAAGTAGGTTGCAGCTTTTTGAGGGCCCACACCACCGCTAACCACTCCTTTCAATGGCAGTGAATATACTTAAACTGTGCAAAAGTTTACGGCTTAGATAAAAATCAATGCCGTGTACACCGTCCACTGATAGAGGCAGCGGAAGGTATTAAACTGATCAGAACAATACTAAACACACCACTCCTTTTTTTTGGGTGAGGCTACAGGACAGAGTGCTTCTCGGTTATGTTAACTCACGGGCAGCTGGCTCATCAAGGAACCACAGCAGCTTTCCATGTACAAGGTAAGACCGCGTGCAGCCGGTAAGGGTTCAGGCTCTTCTTCCTGGAGGATACGCTGCAAGCCTGTTGAATGAGGTGACCTTGCTCAGGTCCCAGGTGTACGGTTCCTAAAATAGCTGCCATATACACGTCCACTGATAGGAGACGCGGAAGGTATTAAACTGATCAGAACAATACTAAACACACCACAAATAAGGTTTCTCTCCTGTATGGCTCCTCAAATGATGCTTAAGATTAGAAGCGGCTGAAAAGCATTTCTCACACTCGAACAAAAATATATTTTTTTAACATTCTCTCCACTTTGAACGAAATGACGTTTGGGAAGAGATTAACATAATTAAACACAGGCAGTAAAAATACAGTTTTTAGCCATACACTGTAACTTTAAAACTACACATCCCATCTTCATAATTACATATTTGGAATCAGCACACTTAAAACATAAACATAACCAAAAATCAGCCAAATCCATCCAGGGGTTAAAAAGTTAGCTGGAGGTCCCTTTATGACCGACCGCAAGCACATTTTCCTGCCCAAAACAGTTCCATAGATTTGGGCTGTGAGGTCGGTCTATTTCAGGCTGAAAAAACGACTAAGTCCCATCGCGAATGGGACTTAGTCTCTGCAGCTGAAATAAGGCTGAAAAAAACGGCTGAAAAAAAGACTAAGTCCCATCGCCGAATGGGACTTAGTCTCTGCAGCTGAAATAATTTCCCATTTACTGAACCAAGTGGGAAATAGCAAGGCAGGCACAAAGGGTTTGCACCAGGTCTGGGGACACAGGGGACACCGTCTTAAAGGGGCCGTGTCCCCAACAAGTCTGGGGACACGGCCTTAAAGGGGCAGTGTCCCAATCTTCCTGATGTCCCAAAAAAGGTGTTTAAAGGGCCAGCACCAGTCACATAAAGAGTCCATAAGCCCCAATATGCCCACCGACAGTCTTAAAGGGCCATACACACCAAATAAAAGTGCATACATTTTCACAATCTCCCAGGGGCCATAGTCATGCGGGAGGAGGCTGGCAAGTAGGCTTCTCCACAACCCAGGGAAGCAGGGCAATTTGCCATTTAAAGGGCCCGTTACAAATAGCAGTTTGTAACAAGGTGTCAATCCATATCTGCCAAGTGACCCGATGTAGGGGGACCAGTCCCTATTCTGCTCTGTGTCAGTGTGTATCAGGGGACCTTAGGACAGGTGTCAATCCATATCTGCCAAGTGACCCGATGCAGGGGGAATAGTCCCTATTCTGCTCTGTGTCAGTGTGTATCAGGGATCCTTAGGACAGGTGTCAATCCATATCTGCCAAGTGACCCTATGTAGGGGGACCAGTCTCTATTCTGCTCTGTGTCCGTGTGCATCAGGGGCTCTGAGGACAGGTGTCAATCCATATGTCAAGGTGTCAATATGTCATATGTCAGGTGTCAATCCATATTGATTGTGATTTAGGAATGTTAGGTGATTTCTGCCCTTTATGGATTAAAACCAGACTCTGTATCAACTGTGTAATTTTCCATGGGAGTTTTGCCATGGATCCCCCTCCGGCATGCCACAGTCCAGGTGTTAGTCCCCTTGAAACAACTTTTCCATCCCTATTGTGGCCAGAAAGAGTCCCTGTGTGTTTTAAAATTCGCCTCCCCATTGAAGTCAATGGCGTTTCGGGCGGTTCGCCGGTTCGCGAACATTTGCGGAAGTTCGCGTTCGCCATTCGCGAACCGAAAATTTCGGGTTCGCGACATCACTAATCTGTACTGGACCCATTCTTTTTCATAATTTTTTTAGTGATATTGCAGACGGTCATGATGGTAAGGTATGTCTTTTTGTTGATGATACTAAGATATTTAACAGGGTTGATGTTCCAGGAGGGATAAGCAAATGGCAAATGATTTAGGTAAACTATAAAAATGGTCAGAGTTGTGCAGCTGACATTTAATGTGGATAAGTGCAAGATAATCTTCTTGAACATAAAAACCGAAGAGCAGAGTATAGAATATTTGACAGAGTCCTAACCTCAACATCTAAGGAAAAGGATTTAGGGGTAATTATTTCAGATTGCTTAAAAGTAGGCAGACAATGTAATAGAGCAGCAGGAAATGCTAGCAAAGTTCTTGGTTGTATAGGGAGAGGTATTAGTAGTAGAAAGAGGGAAGTGCTCATGCCATTGTACAGAACACTGGTGAGATCTCACTGGGAGTATTGTACGCAGTACTGGAGACCATATTTCCAGAAGGATATTGATACTTTAGAGAGCGTACAGAGAATGGCCATTAAACTGTAGACATGTGCAATTCATTTTGTTCCGAATGTGAATTCGGACGAATTTCGGGCAATTCGGACATTCGGATGTATAAAAAGAGATACTGTATAATATCCCAAAAGACCAAATGGTAATGCCAAACACCCAAAAAGTGTACCTCACATACACCCAATATAATGTAACAAACCGGGAAAAATATACCACACCAAAACACAAGGTGACAGTATAAATTAAAGGGGTAGCAAACCAATATAATAAAACATACAACCTGTATATAATAAAACAAGTCTTGGCAAATCTATAAATATGAAAAGATCATATAATAGTGAAGTATGTACAAAGCACCAAGCTCAATCCCGAAGGTAGAGAACTTACAGACAATATTGTCGATCTGTGCTTATCTCCCTCTTAAAGGGTATCTCAAAACAGCAAAGGGACTTCTTTTTGAAGAAAACTTGTAGATGCAGATCAGATTATATGCAAAAGCTCCAATCCTCAAATGAGAAAAATATATAGAGCAGTATTCTCAATCAGAAATACATTTATTAGTACTCATTGCACTTACATAGAAACTGTGTATAGTCAGCATATCTCCAAATCAAGCAGTGGTGCCATAAGAAAGGAGGTCCAGCTTCAATAAATAAAAACAATAAAAGAAATAACAATAATAGAAAAGATAGGAGCTAAATGTCCCAAACAATGAATCCAACGTGTTTCGTCTTGTTGACTTCCTCAGGGATATACAAGGGACCAGAAACAAGTTCTTTTTATATGTCCCCATAAATTGCTCGCAAAATTTGCCGCCCGTAGTGTTTCACTTCCGGGTTCCGTCCATACCATCTCTGATTGGTTATACGTACTGACGGCTACGTTCACAGATGTAGATGACAACCATTTCCGCGTTCCACAATGGAACGCACATCACAAAGATCATAAGCGACGTGTATTCTCTGAGGACTTCCGCGTTCCACAGTGGAATGCATCGCGATCCCCTATGATGGGGAAAAGCCGAGCGTCCATCGTGAAAAGAAGGAGAGCTCCTTACCAATAAACTAAAAAATACAATACTCAAACATATTAATTGCAATAAAAACATATACATAAAAATGCAAAATGAACAAAAACACATATATATGAAAAACTATAAAAGAAGTGTATATACTTTAAAAATAGGCCAAATATTCACAATATTATGCAAGTATCAGAGAATAAAGATAACCAGCATAGGTATAACAGAAAAAAACTGGAAGGAACAGCCCAAAAGAATATATATTTTTGTTCCCAAAAGGGGATTTCAGAAAATTAGAAAATTAATTAAAGGAGTCCTGCTAAATCAATGTCTTGGTTTAAACCTGTCCCTAAAGTTTTTAAAGTATAAATCCAAAAAGCTTCTTTTTTAGCTAAATCAATGGTTTTATTTCCCCCTCTCCAATTTGTGGTAACCTGGTCTATGCCTATAGCAATAAAAGTGGACCAATCAAACATGCTACAAGTATTACAATGATTGGGGACACTATGTTCCACTTTATGTGTCCTGATATTATTAAAATGTTCTCGGAGTCTAATATGCAATTTTCTAATAGTTCATCCTATGTATTGTGCACCACATCCGCACTGTAGCAGATATATTACATATGTCGAAGTGCAGTGAATAAATTTCTTTATATCATATGTCTGAT